TTTCTGTATTTTCTTCTACACCATGTTAATGTGTGAGTAAAACTGATACTGCATTTAAGTCTGAGAGTGCGACGTTTACAACATCCAAAATGTAGCAAACATGCTCTTTATTTATTATTATTTGTACCAAAGGCTGCATTGGAGAACAAGACATTGCACTTAAGCATGTCACACGTTCGGAACAAATGGAGCACATTAGTTTACCATTTGCTGTTGTGTACATGAATAAAGTATCTATTACTAACAGTTGTTAAAGCCTGTATGACCCTTGTTAGTTGTGTACTCGAGTTAGAATCAATTTCACAGATGTAGATTAATTTGAGGATGTAGTCGGCTATATTAGTTGTGACAAGTACGTAACATTTAGCATTTAAGTTACATGTTTGTAGAACTGCTTTGACTTCGACATTACTACTAAACGGATGATGTACCTGTAATGTATGGGATCTGTGTTCCATGTTAGTGAAGATTTTGTTGTTCACTGATTATTTTACTTTTATAAAGTTTTTTTTTCAACTACAAGTTCTGTGAGTACAAGTGTCTGTTGTATATCTGATGTGCTGTGTCATCACATAGTCTTGTATCGTGACGCTTGTATTGTAACATGTAAAGTATCTCAAAGTTGCTGACAATACCAGCCCAAATCTTAATTGTGTAGAAATTTGGCTAACTAGCTACCAAGACCTCAGCATACTATTAGTGATTTTTTATACTTGTTATGAAGAAAAGGACCATAATACCATTGAAACGACATTAAACTAAGATAATAACATGATTATCGTACTTTTTAACAGGGAAAATACTCACATTTGTGGGTTTCGTTCATGCCATCATATCGTTTTTTTCTTTTTTCCCTCATAACACTTCATTTGGAGTGTGCATCTGAAAAACCTCCGTTTGGAGGGTCATGTAGCCCAAACACTTTGCACTACCCCTCTATCTCAACAAAAATCGGGACACCCTACCCCAGACATGAATGCGTAAAACGGAGGGGTAAGGGCTAAGTGGTAGGGGCAAGTGGTGAAATATGTTTGGGCCTTAAATCTCTCTCTTTCCCTTTCTCTACCTCTCTCTCTCTCGAATCAGAGGATGAGAAGAGCTGGAAAAATGGAGGTTTGTGGTCTCTTTCTCACACACATTACAAATTCTTCAGTGCTGATTTTAACATTGTAAGAAACTCATGTAATACAGCAGTCATTTGCAAATGTTACCGTTGACCTTCATTCCGGACAAGTAATTCTGGTCTTCAGACAAGTAAACAGTAGATTTACTTGTCCATAAGAAAAGACTTCCTCTCTCTTAAAAAAAAAAGCTTAACGTCAATCCCTGAGTCATTCAGAGGTGATTCAGAAGACATGATATCTGATGTCTGCTATATACAACGCAGCCCAACCCAACCACAACATCCATATTCACAGGACACATGATCTTTCAGTTCCACGGTGTCCCTCCATTCAGACCTTTCTTTACACCTTCCTGACACGACCTGAACACAGACACTCCCTGAAACCAAATAAGTGAGTGCAACCAGTTTACCACACACACAAAAGACCAAGAGAGGCAGGACTGTAAGAGATTTAGGGGAAAAGGGACATGCAGTGTCTGCAGGGTACACAGGTAACTAATGGATATGTACTGAAATATGACATTAACTGAATAAATTTAACTGCATCAAAAACATCTTCAGATCCAGAACATTACACAGCATTACTGTTGGAACAAATCTTGTATTCAAAAACGCAAACTTTCTTAAACATTCTTATCTTTCAGTGGAAGTTAAAGTTAAAACTTTATTCCAAGTAATTCTGGACCATTTCATGCAAGGTTTGGTCCCAACAGCAACGATATCCAGGTCCTGGCAGCTGTTTTGCTATCATAGTCACCACTGTCCACCCTCAAATGCTGCATGCCACGTGGCTTGTGATCATTTCTGCAGCCAGCCAGCTCTTTTTCTCCACTCACCTCTGTGCCAATGGCTGATGAAAGAATGATTTTAACAGTTGTGCACTAGCTTGAGCACAAGCAGTTGCAGAGTGAGCCTTTCATACTTCAGTTTCAAACGACTGCTCATAGATCCAATGCCTTTAAAGAGTAAGTCAAGCACTTTATCTGCTGCAGATGATGCACCTCACTAAGAGCTAGTTTGGTACTCTTGGCCCACATTGCTGCATTTTAGTTGTAGTTCACTTTGGGATTTCATAAGGGATATTCACAGGTACTCGAGAACTTGGTTGACCATTTGAGGTGGCAGTATTCAAATACTGAAATCACTCTTTGGGTACTTGTAGCATTTCCATATGGAAAGACAGAGAAAATACACAGACCAACTACTAAGTAAAATGCCAAATATCCTATACTTTGCTACTCTGAAAAATAGTGCCGTAATATGGACGTGTGGCCAAAGACACACTGAGAACGTGAATGAGATGGAGTTTGTATGGTTTTATAACTAAACAGGCTAAGCTGTTGTTAGAACCAGTTTAAATATATTTCTGAAAAACTAACATCGTCAACTGAAGAGGAGAAAAACACCTGTAGAAGACGACGACTCCCCATGAGCATCCTGTGTTGTACTAGTTAGCTGACCTTTAGCTTGTTAGCTCACCTGAGTGTCCATTGTATCACTTATCTGACATGAAAACCTACCCATTTCCCTCAGCTATTTTTGTATAATAAAACATGGTTTGTTCTCCTCTCATTCATTTAAATTAAATGTTTTTCCTTCTTCATGTTTAACCAGTAATCCGTTCGTGAACTCTTATGGATACTTGGCTATAAAAATTTATAAAATTGCTGTAATACATGGCCTCCTTGCTACGTTTTTTAAAAAGGTCTGGCTAATACATGATATAAATAATGTGTGGTGTCTTGTGCGAATATGAAGTATTACAACAGCTTTAAACATGCCTTAACCACTTTCATATTTATTCATAATTTTACTGTTACTGCCTGTACTGTACGTCTGGTACTAGTCTGTTTAAAGCGGTTCAGATGTACACTTTCCTAAGGGAAACTTTAACTTTAAAATAATGTCCATGTTAAATATGACGAAAAAGAATACGATTGATTTTGTTAACGTTTTATTTAGCAATGTTTGATTTACTTTAATTCTTAGTAAACAGATAGTGACTAACAGTCCGTGTGCACAGGTGTGCAGCCGCAATGGATGTTAGTAAACAAGATGCCTAGAGAGGTAGACAGACAGATATAGTAGGTATGTAATGATTCCAATACTAGGGGTGTCATGATACACGTTAAAATTAATTTTTAAAAGATTCAAGATGAACATCCATAATTTAAAGACGAATGGACTTATTTATAAGCACTCCAGTTGGCATCCTGATACATTTAATCTGCAACAAGAAACTGTCAAACACAATAAAACTGGATTCAGCTTCCCGCCCGCCAGCTTCCTGTTCGAATTTTTACATTCCACCTTAAATGGTGCAGCAGTTTCATTCTGGCACCTGCCAGTATCTGGCAGGATACCCTTTCCGCAAAAGTAGAATAGTTTCTTGTAAAATGTATTAGGCTGAAGTGCTTCTCCTTCGCCAGCTTCTTGTTCAAATTAAAGGAATTAAATGGTGCCTGAGGCCCCAGAATGTAACTGCTGCACCATTTAAGGTGGAACGGGAAAATTCTGAAGCTGGCGAGTCTCGGCAGCTACTTCTCCCTGCAGGATTAGAGCAGCTGCTAAGTGCCGATTCTGAACAGGCGAAACAAATAACTCTCTCCACAGGAATGTTAATAGCTAACAATTTTCACCACTATTTGGTCCACCTCTAGCTGGCTGTAGATTCCACACTTTGCAAGGTGTGATTGAGCTACGTTAAAAAATCCACTCTCACCCATTTCAGCCAGAAAGTAAGTGTACAAACCCGAGATCATATTGTAACTTGTAATGCTCAGTTTATTTTATATTCAGATACAGCCTTATAGTTTACTTTTATATAGATATTGCCCTTTTGTTTATATTCTTTTTTATTTATTTTATGCCTTCCAAGAAAATGATTTGTGCCAGTTATCCCTTCAACAAGCAGCGTTGTCTTTTAGAGACAAATGAAACAATGAATGTTTGCAACAGCTTTTGCTTCATGGAAACCATGTTAATGACTAAAACTCAGCATCTGGGTGCATACTATCCTGTAGTATTATCCTGTTAGTGGGCTAGCACAGCCAAACTAATCTGTGTAGTCTATAGTTAGAGCTTTATAGAAATCAAACATACGATACTGAAAGTCTCATTGAATCCTGAACTCACACAAACACATCATCTAAACCGCTCATCCTTCTGGGTCACAGTAGGGTGCTGTAGCCTATCCTAGCTGTCATTGGGCGGAAGGCAGGTTACACCCTGGACAGACCACCAGTCCATCGCAGGGCAGACAGACAGACATACACAATCACACACACAGGGGCAATTCAGCATGTCCAAGCAGCCTGACTGCATGTCTTTGGACCGTGGGAGGAAACCGGAGTACCTGGAGGAAACCCACGCAGACACGGGGAGAACATGCAAACTCCACACAGAAAGGACCCCGGCCCGGAATCAAACCCAGGCCCTTCTTGCTGTGAGGCGACAGCGCTACCCACTGCGCCACTGTGCCGCCTGATCCTGAACTCAGAATTGAAATATTTTCATTTAAAGCCTGAAAATATGTATATCATTACACTTCTAATAGATAGGAGGGCAGAATAATTTGGAGAAAATATCAGACTGCATTTTTTCTTACTGATATTGTGACTGCAATTTAAACTGTGATTATTTTCTACAAATTATAGTCTTTTTCTTTTTTGGCCACTAGCACATCCGCTTTTTAAGTGTTATTAGGTTAAATTGCCCCACTTAAAACTTAGGACAAATGTTGTTGACAATGTAAACTACATTTCAAATTACAGCTCTTGCACTTTTAAAATTGTACTTCTTCAAACTGCGATATAAAAACTATTAATCTTTGATTAGATAGATAGTGTGAAGTGTGTATAATTAGGATACTTACTGCAGGCACTGCAGGTGAAGCAGCTGTCGTGGTAGAGGCTGCCCATGGCCTGGCATGCCTGGCTGGCCCCATACACAGCCTTACTGCATTTCACACAACTGCCTGCAAAGAAGTACCACAAGACAACCATATCAGCCAAGCAGCACAACACTCTACTTCTTATTATTTACAAAGTTCAATAAACAGAGCAGTGGTAAAGTCTGCAGGCTCGCTGCTGGAGAGATGTGGGTTTGATCTCATGTAGAAACCACACAAAACAGCACTCACTGGGTTTCTGTGGTGCCAGTTCTCTGTACACCGCTTGTGTTCCAGTCTATATTTAAAAAATCTATTCATTTAACGACATGAAATCGTATACAAAACCATTTGTCAAACCAATATAAAGGGAAAAAAAAAGGTGGGAGAGGTGGGAGAGGTGAAAGGCAGAACAGGCTGGTAACACTCTGTATCAATATAGACGGAAATATAATCCAATTCGCTTGTTTGGTTTGGCACACAGGCTGAGAATTCTGCCCCATGAACACAGTAATCAGACTACGAAGGGTTCCCACCAAACACTGCCAAACATACTAAACATACTCACACGCACACACTCTCTATCAACAGGATGTGGAAAAAAGTATTAGGAAGCAAAGTACAGATAAAAAAAGAAAGAGAAAAGGAATGAGAATGAGAAAGACTAGGACAAACTTTTACCATACTCCAACTCGAGGCAAGCATAGTGTGAGGGCCGTGTGCTGTGACATTTCCTATCACGCTGTTTATTGTGAGAGGACAGGCCTGATTACAGTATTTCCCCTCCAATCCCTCCATTTCACCTCGTCTGCCAGCTCAGCCTCCACAGCTCCACAGGACTGGTGCAGAGACATAATTATGGCCCAGTCACAATAACGACTCTCACTTAGTGCACAGTGAAACCATACAAGAGAGCAAAAGGAAACTGAGCCCTTTATAATGTGTTACTTTCAGTCTCCCATCTGGTGAAATCCAACCAATACAAACAACACAGGAAAAACTCAATTCAGATTTATGTTAAAAATACTGAATACACAAATGTGACAAGAACTATAACTTTTTTTCTCACAAGTCTTATTTTGTCCAAAAAATAAGCATATACAGTGCTGTGCAAAAGTCAGAGACCACCCTTCATTTATTTGATGTCCAATGAAAATGGCCAATTAGTACAGATTAGAAAACTTATTTAATAGCAAAATACACATAAGCCTGCATCACCAAGTATGATATGACATTGTTCAGTATTTAGTGTGCCCATTCTTTACTTTTACACAGCTTACTCCTTTCACAAGACTTGCTTCCAGTTTTTACAAAAATCTGCAGGGATATTTCTGTTCCAGAGATATCTCCAGGGAATTCCACACCTCCAAGTTCAGTCTTAGAAGTTGGTTGCATTTTCTGTTTCACACAATCCACGTAATCCCAAACACATTCAGGGATGTTGAGGTCTGGACTCTGGGGTGGTCAGTCCATTGTTCCGAGAACACCAGCAGCTTCTTTGTTTGATCTGCCACAATTTTTTTGTCTACTACCTTTTCTCAGTAACAGCTTATTGACAGCTACACATTGTTCCCGAACCATAGCGTTGAGCTGTCCTCTCACAAGATAAAAAATGCTGTGGATTGTTTCAGATCTGAGCAAGAGTGGAGCTTCAGTTTCCCCTATTTATCAAAGGCGAAAGCTTTAAGTACTGTTTATATGATGGTGACAGTTTTGCTGGTCTACCAGGTCTTGCACAGTTGTTAGTAGTCTATATTTTCCTCTGTATCTCTAAATAATTTTTTAACTCCTGTTTAGAAAACATTTGTTTTTCCACTTATTTCCCTTTGACTTTCCTTTTCGTTATGCAAGTGGACTGTCTTACATCTAATCTCTTCAGAAATGTCTTCTTAAAAATGAATAACTTGTCCTTAATACCCAATTTGACTTAAATAATTTAAGGGTGGCATCTGGCTTTTACATAGCAGTGTACTTTACTGAACATTATTCAAGCCCTTTATAACTGATTCAAACATTCCAAAACAGTTGAATTGCCACCTTCAGATTGATGCATTTTTACAACCCATAATACACTGACAAGAATCTGACAAGGAGAAGACTCCACACAACTTGACACCCACTGAGAGTGGAGGACTTCTGTTGATGTATTAGCTCTAGGTGGTCATGTGTGGGCATCAATCACCATTTAGAACATAAGAAACTGAGCTAACTGCCAGATAAAATACCAGGCATTTAACACATGAATAAAACCTAATTCAAAAAACACTTCAGTCAGCTCCATGAAGGACGCCCAACGATTATCACAAGACCTATGGCTGTGCCGCTTGATGAAAAGAACACAGAAGAGTTTCCTTTGTGAGGCTTTCACAACATTCCTTCTGTACATGTGCGTGGCTAACAGTACGCTCACAGCAGATTAGAAAAGGCAAGATCAACAACATCCCACAGAGCTAACAGCATTACCCAGAGCAAACTCTCCTCAGAGGAAGAGCTCCCCAGCCAGAAGCTGGAATGGACTCTCACAAAGAAGCCTCTGTTTCCTCTGGTATCCAGCAAACATCAGGCAGCCAACCTCTGCCCACTCTGTAAAGCCTGCCTTAAAGGAACCAACCACCCTCGAGCTTTTAGCACTACTAGAAGACACTACCACACCCACACTGCTTGCCTTATGAGCAAAGCTTTCCACACAAGAACACCACTGAATCAAGCTACTCCATTATACTTTGTAATATTACTTTACATAGGCAAATCCCTTACTCAGCTGAGACACTGGTACTGGGACCTGGCGCTGCTGTAGTGTTGTTGGGTTGGTGAGCATGTTATTATACTGATATAAACTCTGTAATACATCCATCTTAAAATAGCAGAGAAGTAGCTCACACGATACCTCAGTAACCACATAATGTCACATGATAACAGTAAAGGTGGGGTAGTAGAGTGTTTGAGCACTCTTGGCATGGTATATAAACAGATACATATTTCATTTTAAAGCTTAGTTTCAGTATCAGAAATGAAAAAGCAGCATTGTGCCATCTGTGATAAACATTATGCTATGAAATATTTTAATCAGATGAAAATACATTTAAAAGTCACAACACAAATTGCATAAAGAAGTTAGAAATCCATCATGCAGCAGAACTATTAGGAAGTTTCACATAGTTGGTAATACTTTGGTGATGATTTGTGCAACTATTGCGAAAATGGTTTTCATTCATACTGCCCAGCCCTAAATGCCATGTCAAAATACAGAGTTCCTGGAATGAAAATAAGCTTCCTGTGTAGTAGAATCTCAGCAATATCTCCCGCTAAGAGGAAGTCTTCAGTCCATGTCCTGCCATAAGGAGGGGGGAAGTGTTCAGACTCTGTACCCAGTGACCTGCACTCAGTGTCAGAGGCACAAGTACACTCCAGTCTAAAGACCTGTCCTATAAGGCCCTGTGGTCCTACTCAACATCTGCACTTTGGTGACATCAATAACTTTTGAAAGTACAGGGCAAGAAACCTACTAGGTAAGTGTGCATTTGGGAGAAACCCATGCGATTAATAGGCTGCACATGTTCTGTACCAAGTGAAGTGATGCTTGCAATCATACTCAGCGATTTAAATCAGATTATTTCTTATTTACAGTGGCTCAATCCAGATTACAAGAATAATGCAGCTCAATGGCAAGTTGAATTTATAGACAAATGCATTTTACCTCAGACTTGAATATCTTCTCCAGCCATAATGGTCAGGCAGCTGTAAACAAAGCCCTCCACTTTGACTGGTCCTGTGAGTTTTGGTTAAGAGTTCACAATGATGTGGTCCACAGTAAGAGTGCACAGAGGGTGTCTGTGAGTGCTCCTTTGTGTGAGGGATCTGCTGTAAGAATGCATGAACTCGCTCCTCAGCAAGGGTTGGGTGGTATTACAGTAATAAGGTACACCACGGTATTTAAAAATGATTATGTGTCACATTTCTAATCCACGTCTGAACTTTCAAACAATCTCCACCCATTTATATTTTAGAGGGGCTTACAGTTTGATAGGTACGGCTTGGAGTTGAAGATAGCGGCTTAGCAACTGCTAAGAGCTAGACACCAGAGAACATGTTCCATTTCAGCTTTCACTCTAACACTGATCACTCGACTTTACACTCTCATGATATCTTCAAAATGGGCGTCATTTTCACATCAGCTAGCTGGAACTAAGCCTGTGCTGTGGTGTGTGGCATGTTTGGCCTGCTAACAAAACTATTGCTGTCTTAGCCAAAATGCTACAATCCCAAACACCACAGAACAGGTTCGACTTCTACATGATGTCTCTCCAATACCAGTCACTCAACTCTGCTCTGACGGACATTTGTTTTTATCATCTAAACTTGTTTCAGCAGAGCACCAGCTAATCAGAATCAAACCTGTACTGTAGTGTGTGGCACTGTTTGGATCTACAGCCTGTTCACTAAGCTAATGTTAAGTCAGCTAATCAGCCTACACATCCAAACACCACGGAAAAGGTTTAATTACCCATGGACTCTCTTAGAGCGGCAATCCAATCAGGACCCTCAGCATCCAACTGCTGAACACCACCTTAGATGAACAGTCATGTTTATGGAATCCTGTATACTTTCTTGATAGCTTTGACAATCTGGCATCAACTACCTAAAACCTCACATTAGAGTCAGAGAGCAGCCAGACACTCGACAGACATAATCTGACATAATCTGTTATGGTGGATTAATCAGCTCTAAACTGTAGGGATTAGAAAAGGGCTCTTTTATTCTTTTATTGACAGATCCAGCAAGCATTCGCAAACATAAAAGCACACACACACAGAAGCTCAGATTGGCTTCACTTGGCTAAAGTTCAAATGTTAAGAGAGGCAGCCAAGAAAACTTGAGGCAGAATAAAGATAAAGACACTCGGTGGACAGAAAGATTAAGTAATCCTTTATCAAAACAGCACTGAACATACCACTGCAACTGTCCCCTGCTGGTGTGTTTGCGTGTGCAAGCCGGGACCCCCGCCACCACCCCTTTCTTTCTCTTCCTGCTCCATGCTCACCCCCTCCTCATATCTCATCCACTGTCTCTTCCAAAACAAAAGAGACCAACAGGGTGGGGCCATGCTTAACTGACTCCAGACAGAAGGAAGGTCACTGTAGCTCTTTTCCATTTGGATGTCAACAGCAAGAGTCCCTCTCACGTTTGGACTCTATTGTAGCTCTTCCCTATTTATTATCATCCCATGGCCCTGGCCCTGGCCCTCCGTAAATTCCAGAGCCAGTTTTCCAGACATTCCTCAACATCCCCCTGGTGCACCACTTTGGCTCTGTGCTCATTTTCCCAGAAACTTTGTGCACTGCTTTGCCTATCAGTGAGGTGCACACTGCATGTATGGAAGCTTCAAAAAGGTCTGAGCTAGCTTAGATCAAAGAAGATGTTTCTGTGTAGAAAAAAAAGGTAATCTCTTATGTTAGACTGGGGAAAATAGCTCCATCCCTAAAAAAATGAATTATACAGATTTGCAGACTTTTAACTTAGAAAACTTTCATGATTTTTTGACCAAAGAATTCAAGACACTGAGTGGAGAGCATCATGCAACGCAATGCCATCTTTAAAGACCAAAGACTGAGAATAGACACAGAGCTCAACTCTCACTCACCTCTCACTCTCTGTGTCATCAAAAGCATGACTAGGCTGGAAATATGCTTGTCCAATATGCATGTCCAAGGCCAAAATCTTCATTTGTCACAGCGTATGAGTCAGAGAAAGATTCTCAGTCTGAAGCAAAAGGACAGGGGTCAGCAGGACCTAAATGAGGACAGGCAGCCAGGCACGCACTACTCATCATGTGACAGATCCTTTAGTTGCACAAAAGCTAGCAATCACTTAGTGGTTGCACTAGTATGTTTAAAGTAGGCTTAGCAACACTTTAGTGAATGTGCTGGACTGCTGGGATACTCAGAGAATTTGGGTCTCTGTATAACTACATACTTCTGTATCTCATCTAAGTCGGTGCAAGTCAGAACACTGTTGCTTTACAGTAGATGCAGTCATCCCTCACCCTTCAAATCCTCTTAAACAAAGCTAAATTCAGGACCATTTGTAGGGTGCAACTTTTCAGCATATTTTCCATGGACCCTTATTAAAATATTTCCATATCAGCACTTCAGGAGGGTTCAGATAAAGAAACGACTAAACTTTTGGTGAATAATACACGATAAACATTCCAAAAGCCAAGAACAAAAAACCTTGGAGATAAGTAGATTGGTAGACAGGGTCAAAGTTCACACTCCCACAATTCAGCAAAAACCAAGTAACTAGGAAGCAAACAAGTGCGATACACAGTAATAAAAAAGGAACTGAAAGTGTGGCAATGCTGGCTTACAAGCTAGGTTTTGATGACACCCTCCACACCCTCCCCCCCAAAAAAATTCAGTTGGTCACATCTGTGAGCACTCTCCAAGCTGCTTTTCACACCCACTTTTTCTGCACTGTCTGACTGCTCCATTACGTTTAGTAAACTTGTGTATTTCTTAATAGCTGCCTAAGGGCTGTTTCAATTTATTACAAGACCACTAGTAAAAAGGGCCATTCATAAAATAAATCTCCCCAAAAAACTCTTTTACACATGTACTTACCAACCACACACACTTAACCTACACAAAAACAGAGTGCAAGACTTTTTAATAACGCCATTAAACCCAGAGGTGTTTACTCGGTTCCACAAAAGTGACATTCTGATGGATTAGAGCTTTTCTTGGACTGCTTCTCACATTCCAGGTTAATTTTAGACCAAAAAGATCACAAAAATGAAAAGCTCCTAACAGTCCTCAGTTCATATGCTAAAGATGCTGGAAGTACCAAAACATTCCACTGCAGTTCTTTAGGAAACTGGGTACATGAGGAGTGTTAGGTCTGTTAACTTTTTACTAAGAATGCAGAATCACCAGATTTTTGCTCCATACAATCAGCTATTGGTCAATTTATTATTTTTATTTTGGTCAGTTGGAGTACTTTTATGATGTGAGGTAGGCCAGTGAATTCACAATGTATTTGAAAGCTGCTGCTACACCTATACCAAAACGTTGTAGCATAGCATAGTTATTTAAATAGGAAACTTTTGTTTACAATATTTACAATAAAAACAGTTTGGACTGTTAAGGATTAAATAATGTTATTTATATTGTGACTCTGGATAATAAAAAGTGCTTAAAATATTCTAGCGGGTTCCATTTGTTCATTTATCCCACTCCCTATTAGCTCTGGGTACAAAAAAAAAAACGGCCACAAAAATCATCCTTAAAAATCCGTGATCAGTGCATCCCTACTTTTTACTCCAGCTCAAGTTGTGTTTTGTCTCTACTTCTAATTCTATGCAAGTCTTTACTATACTTTTTAATGACATGCTGACCTCTTTATTAGATTTATAAGAGAGCTGAACAGCTTTCCTAGGATAGTTTATTACCAAGGCCTAGAGACAGGCTGAGGAGATTTAAGGATGATGAGATGAAGCAAATGAGACAAATGATTAACACAAGACTTGAGTCATGACTCCACAGGCTGGAGACGGACCAGCAGTGGGGAGCAGCAGTATATCATTCACACATACGCACACACACACACCACTCAGACACTTGGCTGTTTCGCTCAAGCTGGCAAGACTCTCTCACTCACACACACATAGACACACACACAGTGAAGGTCAAGTGGAAACCGGCAGCGTGTTTTTCGATCACTGGGCTGTCAAATACAGTTTGCCTCTCAAAAATTACAGATGAGAAAACGATTAAAAAGAAGAAGAAGAAGTAAAAAAAAACGGGAGGGAGTGATCACGTCAGGCTTACCGAAGTAGTCGGCCTTAGGCTGGGCGTCCATCTCCTTTTCCAGGCGTTCGGTTAGAGCTTCTAATTTTATTTCAGCCACAGATGGCCCATGCTCCTGCTGTATATGGAGAGTATGGCATGGCAGTTTGAGTGCCCGCGGGGGGCTGGGGGCTTCGCTGCGGGCCGGCTGCTCGGCTGCAGCTAATTGAGCGAAAGAGGTTGCCTGGCTGCCTGGCATGGCCGGACCCCCCTGCGCTAGACCATGGCCTGCTTTGGGACTGCTCTGATGAGATTCTGGCTGGCTGTGTGCTGGTGGGGTAACCTGGGTAGGCCCAATGCTCTGAGGAACCCCATTGAGGCGTGGGTCTCCATGAGCAGGCCTTTGAGCTGGGGTGGGCTCAAAGTGATGAGAGGGGGTCCCGTGAGTCGGAGGCTGGTGGTAGGAGTCTGTGGATGCTCTGTAGGTGCCTGTGGGTGATCGTGGGACAGAATCAGGCTTGCCAGTACTTGGAAAAGTTTGGGATGGCAGGTTTTGATGAAGTGGTGGAGTGACTCCATGGTTCTGACCAGCTCCTGGTGTGCTCGGACTTGTTGAACTGTTGCTAAGGGTGGGTGATGATGCCTGACAGGGAGGATTGTTCCTAGTGGCCCAAGTACCAGAAGGGCTGGGAGGGTGGCCTGTATGTGTAGGCGATGACTGGATGTGAGAGTTTCCAGGGCTGACTGGTGAGTGATGGTAGGAATCCACACGCTCCTTATGGTCATGGCTGTTTCCATAGCTATAACCCCTGTTGCCGGGAGCGTCATGTTGGGTGGCTGGATGATGTTTCTGGCCCTCATATGATGAATACTGATTAATGCTGGCTGCGCTTGGCATGGGCCCGGACAGTATGGGCGGCTTAGCTGCAGCCTCGCCCCCCTGCCTGCAGCTACTGATAGGTGGTCTGTCTTTGGTGTAAAACGTGCCGTCTGACACTTTCCCGTGACCCCCGTTCAGCCTCGCCGCCAGGCTGTTTTTGGCCATCTCCTCTTGGTGCTTCTGCATGTGGATTTTGGTCATTTTCGAGGCGAACACTCTCCGGGTCTCCTCAAAGTCGGGGTTGTTTCCCGCGTCTCTCTTCATTCGGAACAAACCGTCCTTCGACGCCTCGTACATGTTGAGGTCTTCAATAAATTTACTCGCCTCGAGCCCCAAGTCTTCGTATTTATCCATGTTTGCGAAGCTTTTATCAGTATTTCAGGACACTGTTAACTACTGAAAGGACCGGGAGTGAAGAAGTCACTTCAAAATGTGGACTTTTTCCATGTTAAAAAGTAAGCAGTTCAAATGAAAACACGTTGAAAAGTACAAGCGAGTCCAGCAGTAACTGTACTTACAGCAGGAATGAACTTCTATCCAGGAACAGCTCGCTGTGATCCGTGTGGGGGGAAAATAACAGAAAACGTCTTCTTTACACTTTAAAAAGGGAAAATGTGATCAAACTCCGTCCTCAAAGCGGCGTAAGAGTGAATGAAGCGGCTGAGTGAGAGAGAGAGAAAGAGAGAGATCCTCCTCAGCTGCTCTTCCCTCGCGATGCTGCTGCCGCCTTTAAGACGCTCGCGCTCACGAGACCACCTCCACAAACTTCAGTCAGAAGTTCCTCGCGAGCTGTGAGAGAGTGTGTGGACTCACCCCTCCGGCGCGGTGTGTCTCTCTCTCAGCTGCTCGCTGTGCAGTCAGATATGAGCAGCTCTCAGTCGGCTTAAACGGTTGAATGTACCACGCAGCTCTGCTTCCAGTGTTTCTTTAGTATTTAAAGGCGCAGTAACATAAAAACACAGGAGGGTCTGAACTCAGCACAGCCCACCAACACAGTCTGGAATCCTCTGATTACTGCTGTTTCACTCAATAATAACTTCTAAAGTGTTGTTAATGCTATACTATATATCAGAAGGTAGTTTATTTTATTTCATAAGTGTTCTGGGAACAGTGACAGTCTACTGTATTATACTGTATGTTACAGTCATTTCTTGATAAGTTGCCTCCCTGAAATTTGATCACCATGTTTATTGTGATGTGTAATTTTACTATACCTTCATTCTCAATGCTGAACAGCTTTCTCAGTCATAGAATCACCTCCTCCATTCATCTAAAAGTTCACTATTTTTACAGCTTCTTACTAATCAGTTGGACTCTGTGAAGTTGTAGAGCAGTAGTGTCTCAACAGAATCATTTTGCACGTGTCTTCAACAAATGGATTTTATGTTAATGAAAACAATGATTCTCAACTTTTGAATGGTAGTGCACTGACCACTTGAGCACAGAGGCACTGTTTGAGCTATAGAAATAATTTAGAACAATTACAAATCGTTCAATTTCTCATTCTATAAAACTTTAGCTGCTTTATAGATGTTGAGTCTGTCTTTAAATTACATTCATCTAAATGTATATTAAATGGAACTAAACTTGAGTGTTATAGATTCTATTAAATCTAACCCTAAACCTGGACCAAAACCTAACCTTAATGCCAACACAAAACCTACACCTACTCCTAAACCTGACCTTCATCCTAATGGTGTTGATAATCAGAATGTTTGTAACAAATTACATGTTTTGTTGATTTTGTAAGTAAAAATAAGTACACGTCTTCTACAGAGAACACACATCTACACATTTTAATGCACAGTTACTGTTCACTTGCTGAATTTAACACATTGAAAACAAACAAACAAATAAATAAATAAATAAATGTGGTCTGTGCAAAATGTATGGCACATTTTTTTTATATTTTTCTTGTTTGAACATGTTAAACTCAGCAAAAATGCAAATTGTGTATCAAAATGAGCAGAAAAATGCAGTATTTAAGCGTGTTCTCTGTAGAGGATGTGTTAATGTATTTTCACCTAGAAAGTGAACAACATGTCATGTGCTCAAACTTTTGCATACGACTTGCTTTCAGCTTATTTTGGAAGAACAGCTAAAAATGCATAAAAAAAAGTAAATAATAAGTTTTCTTTCAGGAAATGTGCATTTTGTCTAGTTTACGTTCACCCATAGTTCCTTTTGATGAAAAAATGGGGAATGTTCGAGGAAAAGATGAAAAAAAAAAAACAAAACTATGTCAGGTCCATTAGCTTTGTTCATGTTAACTTATTAACTCCATTAATGTATTGGTTGATATATTTTATTAATGCTAACCTTTTAACTTTATTAATGCTAACAAATATAATTTGATACCCTGATACATTCAGGAAGTATGTTATCAAATTTTATCAGTATCGTCCGGCTCTACTTTTATGAGCCACTAAAGGCATTTTATGCTTTTATAGTTCATGTTTACTCACCGTCATCAGTGCAGCCTTTTTCCTTTTTCACCTAGAACACATTTGTTTAGTGTGTGGGCGCAGTCTGTCTTATAGCTCGCTCACCCTGCAGTGAGTCTGTTTCACTCATCTAAAATGTAGAGACTGCACACAAACGTGATTCATTGCTAAACCGATTACAGCTTTATCTTTAGTTAACAAAACTGGGCTGGTTATACAGCAAACAGACGATAGTGTACAGTGCAGATATGTATGGAGGGCACTGTGAAGCTTCTGCTCCTGTGTGTTATTCTGTGTAGTTGATGGCTCTGGGCTTGGCGCCAGCACATGTGATCATGTTCAGTGAGGGGAACAAGCCAGAGAGAAACACTTCCTGACTTAGTTAGCCACATTTTCCTCCCAGCAGGCTACCTAAGAGACATTTAAGGCCTCATCATCTTTATCCTCCCTTCAAGTTTACTGGTAGAGAAGGGTGAGGCATCATCTAAGATATTTGGTTTTTGCTTAAAAATTATAAAAATACTTGAGCGAGATTAATATTTTTTGCACATATATGCTACAAATAGAAAAGCAAACATTTTGTCTGTGAACAATTCAGCCAAAAGTGGCCCAAGTGTAAATTGTAACACACTGAGGAAGAGGTGGGCGATATGGCAAAATTAATGTATCGCAACACTTAAAAAAAAATATTGTATCGTGAGACTTGAAGACATTCGCTATATTTGAAACAAAGAAAAAGCTCCAGCAGTGCAACATCAAAATACTATTAAAAACTTTTTACATTTTACATACAGCCGTGCATTAAATCCAGTTAAACAGGACTAATTGTGTTCAATTTGCAAGTTGGTCAGTCTTCTTTAAGTACTGATGATATGCACAATATGCTCAGTAAAGTGCATTGTGACATATTTCATCAAGATGATGAAATATTGTCATATTGCCCAGCCCTACACTTGTAAGTTGCATTAATTTATAAATCGACGCAAAAAAGAAACAAAATATCAACGCAGTTACTATGTATTTACTATGTTCTTTGAACCAGACAAGTTTTCCAACTAAATACATATATACATATATATATATATATATATATATATATATATATATATATATATATATATATATATATATACATATATATATGTATAAAAAATTTCATCAGTCACATAAAAACCTTTTTATTTTTACTTTTTTACATGATGTGAAAACTCCATTTACCCTTTAAATTGTGTCCAAATTTCATGATGAATTGACCATCAAAAATGGCCCCAAATTACTTGGAAAAAAATCTTGTTCCATTAACTGAAGAACAAGTTTTTTCTTCTCTTTTAAAGTTACCAGAGATATGAATCTTTGTTCTGACTGCAAAGATGTTGTGGTTATATTACATCTACAGTCCATTTCTGATGAATCTGTGCATAAAAATCTAACTTTTTTTAAACAATATGAACTCTTAACTGTTTTGAATTCATATAGGAGGAATATGGATTAAATATTTTCTCATAGCATCTTTACAAATTAACTAGGACACTCTGTATGTAAAATGTTGTGACTGTGTTGAGCTGCTCGCGAGCAATGGGGGACGGGTGAAAATGGAGAAGGGAGTGAGAGCCCCTCACTGTGAAAGCAATTCACACCTCTCCACAAAGATGGCTATACTGAAATAAAATGGACAGCATAACAGCAGCTTTCTTCATATCAAAACATTAAGAAATAGCATTTTAACACAATAAAAACAGTTTTATAAATGTTGACTTGATCACACACAAAGATGAAAATCCAGTTTACTGTCAGGTTTATAAATCATACAAATTTCAATCTAAACATATTCCAGCAACAATATTGAACAAAAAATATACTGCATGCATTTTATTGCCGAAGTTAAAAGGGGTTAACTACACAATTCAGTCATTAAGGTATCACTCACATGGTCTAAAATTGGTCAGTTTAATTTTGAGAAATATATTTCCAAATGCTGTGGCCAGTTTTACCCTATACATATTACAATACACATAGCTCTGCATTTGTAATGCAAACAGTAAAACCAAACATGTGCCTGTGGTGAATAACTTGATTGAAACCATATTACAAATGTACACTGTTTTCCACTTACCCCAAATACACTTGATCAGCCATTTGGTGTCCAAACTTTGCCCATTTAGTTTAAAACTGGAGCGGCTGGGCTAATGATGCTAACAAACACTGTAAGTCAATAATCACCCAAAATGCTTTTTTTTCTTCATGTAATTGATTCAAAATTCAAAATAATAAATACTATGACGAGACCTGAATTAAGACCTGGTTGCAGTTTGAGTGAGTTGAGAGAAGTTCTGGGGTTGTGTTTATGGAAATACTTTGGGTGACCATTGACTTCCAGTGTTTGTTAGCAACATTAACCTAGCAGCTCCAGATTTGTTTGCTGAACTATTCCATTAAGTACTGAGAAAAACATTAAGTTAGATACAATATACATGTGCTGTTACGTTATAAAGTACACTTAACACACTGTTAAATGTTCACTCATAAAGCTGGGGTGGTTTATTAAACCAAATACATGATGCTCTGCCACAGCTTTATAAAACCTGCTTGAGGTAAATTGTTAAATGAAATAAATCAGGTTTAATAATTATAAAGAGAAAAAGGATAGATACATAAACATGCAATCTTTTACGTGGGATGTAGAAAATTTCACTATGATGTCACAAAGACTGAGTTTCCTTTGAGGTGGTTAGTGAGGCAGCAGCTCGTTTTCCCCAATGAGCAGTGAAGTCTCAGAGGGGCTCGCCAAATTACCCAACTTAGATGTGGCTCCATTGTAATAATCCCTGCATTTTTCCCACCCAACTGCATCACAGTCATGCAGTCTAATTGCAAGATGCACAGTAACCGAGCAAAAACATCCCTGCCCTGCTTTTACATTCCACCAGCCTGAACACTCTGCTATATAGACTCATGTGAGTCATTTGAAAATGTTGTTTTCTCCTTTAAAAGATAAGATTACCGACTGTGACACATTCCATGCCATTTTGTACTGTGACGAAAATAATGTGTGGCCTGAAATCTTAGTAATGCAAAGATGGTGAACGGACCACTTACAACATTTGTGTGCTTTCATGTAACAAATTCATAGTCATAATTCATTTTCACATGCCCATTTTCCAATCTCTCTTCATCCCTTACAATAAACAGACTGTTTTTATTACCATGCCTTTAAAGCAGTCCAGGCCAAAACACTCTTTATAACTTAGTAATGTTATAAGTAATGACTTCAAACTTCAAAAGTTTGGAAACACTACTCATATTAATAATATTTGTAACCATATATACTATAATATGTAAATATCACAAACAATATACCAAAAAGTAATTTTTAGATTTTGTATTCAGTATTTGGGAACATCAAGAAGTTATGAAATGATAATTAACATATTATTATTAAGTCGAGATTTAATCACCACTTGTTCATTTATCAGTAATTCATTCTGAATGTTATACT